GGTGGTATGTATGAAATACCGTATACAATTAGAAACATAGCCATCCAATCAACGAGCTCACCGAATCCTCACCGTCCAATTTGCGCCGCGCCCCCGCGTCGCAAGCGGACAACGAATGAGGCATATAAGCGCTCCTCGGTCTGACTGGAAGCGAGGGAGGGGAAGCCCCGCCTTACATTAGCTTACATCTTCTTGGTGCGTGAGATCGGAGAGTGAGAGATAAGGAAGCTGCAGCAAGGCGACGCGAATGGCGATAGAGGGAGGCGGAGGCGGCGACGAGAGACCTCAAAGCAAAGGTGAATCCTCCTCCCATCATCCCAGCTTGTTGAAAGCTTCAGATGGCCGGTTAGGGCTCTCGTTCGGTCATGAGATGAATAGATTATTTTTGTTTGTTCTTTTTTATTTTCCTATCGGTAACTTATCAACCCTGTTAATCGGGGATTAGATTGCTGATTTTATGTGGAGGAGTTAGCTTCGAGAGGGTTTGGACTTTCTATGCGGTCAAGAAAAGGAGGGGGAGTCATAGGCTATAGAAACTAATTTTTCTGATTGAGCTTCGATTGAATTAGTGGATTTGAAGAATTGTCCAGCTTAGAGTGTGTTTTGCTTTTGGATTCTTAGAGGTTGCTATAAGCTGGGATAGGTGCGATTATGCGAATTATTATAATTGGAGTGTTGGGCTAGTGATCTTACGAGCTTTTATAGTTTCATTTGGTTTAACAGGCCACAGAGGTCAGATCTGGCCTTCTATGTGTAGTTTTATTATCAGGCCGATGACCTATGCCTCCTGTAATGTTCATTGATTTTAAAGTTGGAGGGACTTCCTTATAGGATACATGATTCCTTAATTCTTGTATTAGATTAAATAGTGTAATTAGGTTAAGTAGTGTAATTAGTTACAAGTTTGGAATTCTTGTATTCTATAAATAGCTGCTATTGTAAACTTTGAGAGAAATGGAATGAAAATGTAGTTAGTTCTTTATTTTAGATAGTGTCAATACTTGCACGAGAGTTTCAAGAAGCCTCAAAATTGTTGTTTATCAACATCAAAGAAGCAGGATTCATATCACTTTCGACGGGCAGTCCTTGAGTTGATCCCGATGTCTTATTTTTTACATGAGCGCCCAGCCTAAAGGCAAATTTGTCTTTTGTGGTCTTTTATTATTATTATTATTGTTGGGTATAAATAAGTTTTTTATGTCTTGGATTAGTTTATGCACTATATTGGACTGTTAGTCTTAGGTTTAAGATTTGGGAGAGATTTCCTTCCTATCAAACTGTAGGAATCGGGAGAGATCGCTTGCCTCTCGAATTGTAGCTACTTATCTTTTGTATTCTTATTGAGCTGTTTGGATTATTAAAGAAAATATGTGTTTGCCTAATTTTTTTCGAAAAACATGTTGATTTTGACATCTAATTGTATCAAATTGATGTTAGAGGAAAAAGGATCGGGCATCGAGAGCCAAAGTTTAGACCCACGATGTGATCTCGACATACAAGGAAAACCACGACGAGTTCACAGATTACTGAGACTCGAAACTCACATCTGTTTCCTTTTCATGTGATCCGTGGTCACGATACAAGTGCGTCATGGCTTGCGGGTAAGGCGGCAACGGGGTCGCAACGTAACCATTCACTTACAGTTGCGTGCAAGGCGGACAAGGGATCACATCTTTCTAAACCTGCTGCTTGGGATCGTCACATGGGGATGGATCACATCTTTCAATTGTTTCCTTGTGATAGCAGTGTTTGGCTTCAACGTGAAGAAAAGAGGCGAATTGCTCGAATCAGTGCTACAGGGTGCCGACGATGGGATTGTAGCGTGCCTCATGCGGCACAGTCTCGATTCTCATAGCTGATAAGCAATGACGGGATCGCGACATATAGAATGACTGCAACCCGTCATTTTCTGCCGTGCCAACTCTGAAGTTCCGAAATTTTCAATCGCTTGGCTCGTCCAACAGCTTACTAGTGCTTTCGTCTTTTGGCGATAAAAATTTTTGAGAAGAATGATGACCAAGAAAGTAGATGATTTGGAGAAAATGTTAGAGGAAGAGATCATCCGAATTAGATATGGGATGGAAAAAATGTTTGCTCCCATAGATAGGTTTGTTTCCTTGGAGAACCAAATGGAGGATTGATTTGAGAGCATGGGGGATATTTGAGAAATGATAAAGAGGCTCATTGAGATGAAAACCAAGTCCTCGCTGATAGCTCATTTTGCAAAACTTAAAGAAAAAGATCGAACGAGAGGAACATGAGGAGTAAAACATCCATCATGATGAATCCTCTCATAAGGTTTCGATTGGGCGTGGATTAGAGATTTCTGATGAAGACGATTGGGTCGAAACATGGAGAAGATTATGAAGAGGTATGAAGGAACACAAATTATAAATGAGAGAAACAAGGATAGGATATGACTACGATCAAAGGAGGGAGTTTTGCCCTCGATATATGAGGGGAAACAATGGAGAAGAGGAAGCTGGGGTGGAGAGTTTAGAGTTAGAAAGTTGAAAATGTCGATCTTCGAGCTAGAGGACATACATTAGTGAGTGTATCGAGCGGAGCGATACTTTTCTGTGAATGGGCTAGATGGGAGGAAAAACTCATGACAGTAGGGTTATGTTTGGAACTTAAAAGGGAAAGCTCTAGCCTGAATTTAGTGGAGAGATGCTAGATAACCGATCCATTCGTGGGAGGAATACAAGGACAATTTTCTTGAACATTTTCAAGCAATTTAGAAAGGAAACCTAGTTAAGAAATTCTATGTCTTGACTCAGGAGGAGACTATCATGGAATAAAATGAGAGATTTGAGCTATTGTTGGGACAGTTGAGGGTTTTATGAAGGGCATAAAGCCTAGTATACGGGCATCACTCTCACTATTGAGATCGCGGGGATTTGAGGGAGACGATGGAGTTAGCTCAGATGGTAGAGGATAAGAAACAAATGAAGAAGGCCAACAGGGCCAACATGGATGGAAAGCCATACCGAATTGCTCCAACCACGACGATGCTAAAAGCTCAAATATTGGAAGTCTGGAGGGAGGCTGCAAGGGACATGAATAATGGACCGCGACCGAGAGGAACACTCAAACGCTTTACAGAGATAGAGATTCAGGAGAAGAGATCGTTGTGATGAGAAATTTACCCAGGACACCGTTCTAAATACAAGTTCTCATAGTGCATGACGAGGAGACAGAGAATGAAGAAATAGAGACAGCTATGGCGGAAGAGGAGGAACACTCTCACTTTTTCCTACATTGAGGACGTGTCCTTTGGGGGAGAGTATTGTTACGTTGATGCCAAACTTAAGGGCAAATTTATCTTTTGTATAGCTTAGGACAATTTAGTCTTTTAGTATTGTTATTGTTGGGTATAAATAGATTTGTTATGTCTAGGGTTAGATTTATGCATGAGATTGGGCCGGGAGCCTTACATTCTTGTTGAGTTGTTTGGATTATTGAAGAACCTTATTTATTTGGAAAAGTGTGTCGATTTTGTCGTTGGATCGTATCATTTCTTTCTTTTTTATTTGTTCCGTTGATTATTGGTGGTGTCTGATTGTAGCAGTCTATCACCATTAAACTATCTTTGCACACAATATTAGCCTCACAAGCTTTTTGGTAATGCTCTAATAATGCGGTAAGAGTGTAATTCTTGGCACATAATTATAAGGAAATGTTATTAAGCAAGCCACGATTTTTTTCGAGATTAGTGTAAACTACTTAATTCATAAATTTAGTCTGTCTGCTATTGTAAGATTAGTTTTCTTTATAAAGTTCTAATTTAAGAGTTAGTTAAGAGTTTTTTCCTAGTATCCATTGAGACTTACATAAGTTTTTTGGCATTTTCATTAGTTGTTTCTTAGCATTTTTATCATTTGCATAATTTTTTAAATCTGTATGAACATATTCACAGATGATTGAATAATTACAAATTGATTGTTAATTGTGATGATTATAATTTATCTGCCGGGATGAACATGAGATATGCAACAACCCAATTAATAAGATATTAGGACGCCTGAATCTTGGAAGGTGTCTCATAGGATCCTTATGTTGGCTGATTTGCTGGAGATTCAAAGTTGTACCTTTTTGAAACCACAAATCTTATGCGCTGTGACAAGCAAATTATTAATCTCTTTATTCAAGGGTTGTTTATTTTAATTGCCTTATTTTGTATTTTTTATTTTCATTCATGCTTGTGATGCTGTGCCAATGAGAATAGAGTGTGTTGTCTAGTTTTTATAATTTTCCTTGGTTTGGCTCGTGTTATGATTTACAAATAGGTATTAATTATAATTGGATTTGTTATTTGTTCCGTACCAAGATGCATTCTAACGGATTTAGCAAAAATGGTGCTTAGTTTTATTATTTATTTATTTGTAGCATATTTGTTCGGTTCTTATAGCCTTATTCAATTTCTATAGCGTTGATTCTCTTTGGTTCGAATAGGCTTATGGCATGCTTCCTGAGATGAATTCTCCTGTGATTATTATGCTTACCAAGCTGATGTTAATTAAACGATACATATATTCTACCTTCAGGGCAGTCAGCCTTGGGAATAGTTCATGTTTCTAAATTCCAAAATTTGAGGTATGAAATAGAATATTTCTACGCTAGTCATCCCCATCAGTTGGTCGAGACCTTTATTTTTTTTTTGTTTGATGATCTTTTATCCATCTCTTTTTTTGATATACTTTATAATTGGTGTTTGTAAGTGTAAGGTGATTGATTTGACCTAAAAGCTAATACAACTAGTTCTTTGGTTATGGTGTAAAATTTGACCTAGGGCTGTCAATTTGGCTCGTTGTTCATGAACAGCTCGTGTTCGGCTCATTAAGCAGCTCGTGTTCGGCTTGTTCGTTAAGCCTAAC